TTTAAAAAACAACAACAGTATTTTAAAAGCAAAATTAAAGCTAAAAGTCCAAAAAAAAAAAAAAGAATTCCATGCAAAGAGAAAAAAACAAGATTACTTCACAAAGAACACAAAGTTTAGTCAACTAGGAAACCTGCCCCTGCCTTTACTCTGGCCGCTCCCAAGGCTTGTGTCATGCCAGATGGGTTTCTTTGTGGCAATTACTTCACTGGGCAGGTGGGTCTCTGAGGGATCACTCCCTGTTATGCAAAGAGCCTGGAATAAGCGTCAGACATGCTTTGGTTGAGGAATAGCTTTCCTGGAGGAAACGTGAAAGACCAGGGCCATCATCCCACAGGGAGGGGGTCAGGGGCTGGGTGCTCTGCTGGACACATAATGGGGGAAATCAGCCTGCCTTGGTAGCAGGCCTTCTGCATTTGAGATGCCAGCCGATAGTGCTAGTGTCTGGAAAACCAACCACTGCGCAGCACCTAGCCATCTGGTATCTGTGGGAAGTTATGCCCCCTCCTGTCCAGGGAGGGAGTCCCCAGTCCTATGGGACACTGAGTATGAATACAGATTTCTCCATCTTTCTCCACCTCAATCTATTTCTTCTCCTGTCAGTGTTTTCATATTCAAAAGACAACAGCAATTCAACCAAAACGTACTGACATGCACTAAGTACAAAATTTATAATGGACACTATTATGAATCCTGCCTTTAAGAAGCTTCCAGTCTAGTAAAGCTGTACCAACTAACTGTGCTTTTCCTTCAATTGGATAACATTCTTTAGATATAGATTAAGAATGAGTGATTAGATGCAGAAGAAACTATTCTCAGGGTTTTTTTTGGTGGGGTAGGGAGAAAAGGCAGGCTAGGTAAGGCTTTGTGCTGTGGTAACCATGGAATTTAACATGTAGCGATAAGTAAGTTTTTTCAAAATTAGCATGCACAAAGGCAAACGTGTGCAATGAGAATTTATAGCAATCAGTGTACAATTTGATAATGCAATACAAATGATTCAAGTATTTAAAAATTAATTACTGCTATGTTACTATATTTCCTGCTTTTAAAATTTATTTTAATCCTCACTCAAGGATATACTCATTGATATTAGAGAGGAAGGGGGAGACAGGGAGAGAACATCAAAGTGAGAGAAACAAATCTGTAACCTCGGTGCGCCCTGACTGGGGATCGAACCCACACCTTTCGGCGTACGAGACAATGCTTCCACCAATCCACCAGGCCAAGGCCTTTTTTCTTAATTTTTAAAAAATTAATTTTAAAGAGGGGAAGGGAGAGGAAGAGGGAGAGGGAGAGACAAACATCGATGTGAAAGAAAAACATCAATCGTTGCCTCCCATACACACCCCGACTGGGGACCAAACCCACAACGTGGGTATGTGCCTGACCAGGAATCGAGCCCTCAATCTCTCAGCGGACAGGACATGCTCTAATAACTGAGACACACCAGCCAGGGGACACTGTTCTCCTCCACAAAAGTCCTTTCTTCTATTCATATGATTACCACATACTACGCCAGTGATGGTGAACCTATGACACGCGTGTCAGAGGTGAGACGCGAACTCATTTTTTTGGTTGATTTTTCTTTGTTAAATGGCATTTAAATATATGAAATAAATATCAAAAATATAAGTCTTTGTTTTACTATGGTTGCAAATATCAAAAAAACTTTTATATGTGACACGGCACCAGAGTTAAGTTAGGGTTTTTTGGTTTGTTTTTTAAAATATGGAACGCTTCACGAATTTGCATGTCATCCTTGCCCAGGGGCCATGCTAATCTCTGTATTGTTCCAATTTTGGTATATGTGCTGCCGAAGCGAGCACAAGTTAGGGTTTTTCAAAATGCTGACACGACGAACTCAAAAGGTTCGCCATCACTGTCCTACACCATGAGGCATTAGAGGGAAAGATCAGACCTTGGTGTAGTATCACACTCCTTTCCATTGTATTCTACCTGCCCATCACTGAGGTAGACATACCTATCCTCATTGTACAAACGAAGAAACCAAAGTGCAGACAAGTTAAATAATTTAATTACCAAGATCACACAGGTCAGTAAATAACAAGACTAACTGGAAGCCAGGTCTGTCTTACTCTAAGGCAGACCATTAAAATGCTATTTTGAGCTTTGCGCAGTGGCAGTATCATAGCCAATGAGGTTTATCTGAGGCGGGATTATTGCTAACTGAAAAAAAAATGCTATTTTGATGGCCATTTCCCATGTAGACTATTATACTCCTCTTGGGCAATGGCCTTAATGTTTCCAAATAATTTTGCATTCACCTCTATTTGATACTTAATTGTTTTTTCCCTTTATGTATCCTCCTCCTAACCTCACTGGACTATATAATACATGTAAGAATAGAGGCTATATCATCTGCCCATCCCTATCACTATATAGATGCACAGAAAATGCTTACTGACTATATGAATGAAGGCACCATCTGTACCTTAGACCCTAAAGTGGCACCTATATGACACAAGCAGCATAACAGGTAACCAAGAATTATTAATCGCTTATGTCTGATGTAAATCCACTTCTATATTGAAAAGCTAATATAAAAAGCTAATAGCATTTCACTGAAAATATTTGTAAATCATGAGTGTACAAACCAAGTACCTGAACTTCTCCATGCCTCCTCTTTGCAAATGCCAATCTTTCTTTCTCAGCCTTCTGTTCCCACTGCAGTTTTTCCAGTTGTTGGGTCATTATAGCCACCTTCTTCCTTACTTGTTCCTTAAGTTCTTTATAACGATCCAGCTGTGTAAAGAGCATTTAAACATTGCCAACTCAAAGAAGCATGAGAGGCAAGTCTTTATGTGATATCCTTTATTAACATAATTACTAACAGATATTTAATCTCATCAAAAGTGTTTTACGCCGAAACCGGTTTGGCTCAGTGGATAGAGCGTCGGCCTGTGGACGGAAGGATCCCGGGTTCGATTCCGGTCAAGGGCATGTACCTGGGTTGCGGGCACATCCCCAGTGGGAGATGTGCAGGAGGCAGCTGATTGATGTTTCTCTCCCATCGATGTTTCTAGCTATCTATCTCTCTCCCTTTCTCTCTGTAAAAAAATCAATAAAATATATTTTTTAAAAAAGTGTTTTACATAAATTAGATCAGAATTGGCCATCTTCTCCAGATAAATGTGAACATTAAATGAATGTTTTACTTAAAACAGTTTAGATACATCAATAAGATATTCAAAATCACCTCTAGCAGGTATCTGTAAGAAATCCTTAAAAGAGAAGGGAGATTAAACCTCATTAAATCCAAAAGAGGAACTCAGAGAAAATTATGTACTGTTCCTATTTATGTAGTCACAAAATTTTAGTACCTATATTGTAATGTTAGACTACTATAAAGTTAATGAAAAAGATAAATGATAAAAATTTAGTGGAATGTTTAAAAACTCTGAATTACAAGTTTTTGGATATCTACCATCAATTTATTGTACGTAAATTTTATATACTACATTGGATATTAATTCATCACTTAATATTTTAAATCACATTAAGTAATCAATTTCCCTGTCAATTGTGATCATCTCTTCAAAGCCATATGTATATGACTTTTAAGTTTTTATAATATTCATGTTATTTTAAAAACACAAGAATTACCTAACACTTATTACAAAATGATATATATATATAATCATCTTGAAGTATTTTCTATGACTTTAATAAACTCAAAAATGCTATAATGCCATTTAATCCTATAAAGAAAAATAGCCTAAAGATTAAATTTAGATTCCATATACAGGCTGCAAATTTTAAATCCTACTAATTTAGATTCTGAGGACAATCTCTTAAAGGATCAGAAAGAGAGGTCATTCTTCAAACTTTTTTTCTAATTAAAAGAAGTTGAAAGACTAGAAATGAAAGATTGCCCATGTGATGAATTTTTCACCTGACTGGCTTCTAATTCAATGTCTCGCACTTTCTGTAGGACTTCTTCCGATTGCTTTTCAAAACTTTTCCATGCAACATCTAGATCAACCAGCTCTGTCTCTAGGGTTTTTATGTCATCTTCCTGTTTAGAACATTGTTTTTCACTGTCCTTCATGGATTTCTTAGCCACATCTAATTTCTTAAGATGGTGAGAAGTGTTTTCTTTGGCTTTAATATACTGGGGCCTCTTCTGATTTAAAAGTGCTTCAAGAGATCTAAAAAGAAAAATCAAGTCTGCTTTAAAGGAAATTAAATGTTGTGATAAATAAAGGGAAGAAGTTCTTTTGACCAGATCACACATTTTAAAAAAAATTCTAAAAACTAACTTTCAGAGACTGTAAGCAGAGCAGTCGTTGCCAGAGTTAGGAGGAGGGTTGAATAGATGAAGCACAGGGGAATTTTTTGAGTGGTAAGTACTCTATATGACACTGTAATGGTGGACACAAGACATCACACATCTGTAAAAACCTACAGAACTTTATAGCACCGAGTGTACTTTAATGTATGCAAATTTAAAAAATCACTCAGAGGAGGCCAAGACATCCTAGATGGAATGTAGAAAGCGACAAAAGAATCTAACTGTATTTCATATGCATTAAACCACCTTACTGAAGGGGTGGGGATAAAAAGTGCTAACCTAAGTAACTTTAGAAATGAGTGGCGTCTGCAAAGCTAAAAGCAAAAGAAACTGTACATAAGCATCCTACTCTAGTTGATAAGGCTGCTTCCTAGGAGGGTATGATGTACAATTCCGATGCTGCCGTACGGGATTCCTAGAATTGAACAATTGAGCAAATGCTGGCATCTTGTGAAAGGCAGGTTTCTCACTGTTGGAGTGGGAGGTTGTAGATGGGCAAGGAAAGGTCAATATCTAAAGTGATGTCAAGTTGATATGATGAATCATTAGATAGATGTGTCATATAACATATGATCTGTGGACATCCCTGATACATATAACATGATGGGAATGGCATTTTACTCCTGTGGTTTTCTTTCCCAAATTCATAAACCCTAATTGTGAAAACCCTATCAGACAAATCCCAGTTAAGGAACACTGTGCAAAAAAACCCTGAACAATACTCCTCAAAACTGTCAAGGTCATCACAAAGAAAGTCTGAAAAACTGTCACAGGCAAGAGGAGTCTATGGAGATGTGATCACTAAATGTAATATGGCATTCTGGATTTTAAAAAAGGACAATAGGTAAAAACTAAGAAAATATGAATAAAGTATGGACTTCAGTTAATAGTAATGTATCTGCATTGGTTCACTAATTCTGACGAATGTATCATACTCATAATGTAAGATGTAAGTAGGAGAAACCAAGTGTGGGGAATATGGGAACTCTGTCCTCTCTTTATAATTTTTCTGTACATCTAAAGTATTCCAAAGTAAAAAACTTAAAATAATCAACTTTCAAAACATCACTTTTATTTTTATTTTCTCTATTGATCTACTTAAAATCCAACTGCTAATAATTATTTTTAAAGACTCACTTTAATTCTTTTTCTGTTTGTTGCAGCTGTCTAGTTAGCATCCCATGCTCCTTTTTCTTGGCTTTCACTGTGTTTTCATGATGAGAAAGAGATTCTTTTGTGTCACTCAAATTCCTATTCACATTCTCTAACTCAGTGTTCAGCAAATGAATTTTTTTCTCATTATGGTATAGCTTGAAAAGCTGCAGTTGAATCTTATTTATTTTAAGTTCTTCAAGGAGAGTCTGGTAACGTTCTGCCTATAAAACAGTAAATTCAACAAGAGTTAAAAGGAAGCATATTTAAGTTGACTTTTCATAAACTCAGCTATAATGCCAACAAATAATTTCATGTGATATACACACATGTAAAAATATTAAGAAACAAAAAAACATCACTAATAAGGAACACATCTACCTCTCATTTATTTCTTTAAATATTTTTTAATTGCCTACTATGTACCAGGCCCTGTTCTTTGTGCTGGGTATAAAGTGAAGAACAAAATAGAAATAGTCCCTGGTCTTTCTAATGGGGGGGGGGTGAAGAGGAGACATTGAGTAAACAAGTAAACAAATAATAAACAAGATATCATATAGCAATATATGCTATAAAAGAAACAAAATAGAGTAATGCAATAGCACCAGGGAGTGGGTGCTAATTTAGATTGGGGGCATGGACAGCAAATGCCTGACAGAGAATGGCTTTTTCTGAAAGCGTGAATGAGAGAGTATTTGCCATGCAAAAATCAGGCATACAATTACCTAGGCAGAGGAAATAGCAAAAGCTCTGGCTAGAATGGAGTGTGGGTGTTCAATAAATACTAAAGGTCAATGTGGTCGGAAGTTAAGGCCTGAGAGGTGAACAGGGGCCAGATCAGAAGGCTGGGGAGGAGACTAGATTCTTGGTGTAGTGGGAAGCACTGCACTGGAAGAGGTTCTATGCCAGAGGAAGACAGAATCTGATTTGCATTTTAAAAAGATCACTCTAAACACAAATAATTATCAACCATACATGCGGTACTCTACTAGGCATTGTGAAGGGTACCAAGAAAATACCACAGAACAGCATTTGCAAAGTGTGGCCATTATTTCTTAGGGGTCCCCCACACTATTTTAGGGAGTCCCTGAGGTCAAAACTATTTTCAAAGTAATACTAAAACTTGCCTTTTTCATTGTGTTTATATCTGCACTGATTGATGGTGCAAAAGCCAATGATGAATAAAGCTGCTAGGCCTTGACACAAATAAGATTTAATACAGAAACAGGTGTGAGAATTCATGTCTTTTATTAAGCTAGGTATTAAGATTACAAAAATGGCCGAAACCGCTTTGGCTCAGTGGATAGAGCGTCGGCCTGCGGACCGAAAGGTCCCAGGTTCGATTCTGGTCAAGGGCATGTACCTGGGTTGCGGGCACATCCCCAGTAGGAGATGTGCAGGAGGCAGCTGATCGATGTTTCTCTCTCATCGATGTTTCTAACTCTCTATCTCTCTCCCTTCCTCTCTGTAAAAAATCAATATAATATATTAAAAAAAAAGATTACAAAAATGTAAAAACAATGTTACAGTTCTAATTACGTAGTTTTAGAAAAAAAAAGCAGTTTTCTGGTGGGAATGTAAACTGGTACAGTCACTATGGAAACAGTATGGCGGTTCCTGAAAAAATTAAGAAGTTACCACATGACCCAGCATCCCTCTTCTGCGTATCTACCCGAAAAATTAAAAACCATTTATTTGCAAAGATATATGCATCCCTATGTTCACTGCAGCATCATTCACGGTGGCCAAGAAATGAAAACAACCGGTGTCCTTCAATAGATGACTGAATAAAGAAGATGTGATACACACCGCCCCCGCCCCCCCGCATGTACTACTACTCAACTAGCTATAAGATGAAAAACTGCCATTTGCAACAACATGGATGTACTTGAGAATATTATGCTAAGTGAAATAAATCAGTTAGAAAAAGCTAAGAACCATATAATTTCACTCATTTGTGGGATATAAAATGAAACTCATAGACAGACAACAGAATGTTGGTTACCAGGGGGAAATGAGTAGGGCAGTAGCAGTGGGTAAAGGGGGCCTATTATGTGGTGATGGAAGATGATTTGACTTTGGGTGGTGGGCACACAATGCAATATACAGAATCCTATATGATCCCAATAACCAATGTCACCGGAATAAAAAAAAATGCAGTTTTTTCACTAAAATATTATTTATGTTAACATATAATACATTACTTATACATTGATCATTAAAATATATATTTTAAGTTTCCCAGTTTTAATTTCAAATACAATAAATGCTGGTAGATAGTTATAACCCACATGAACAGAAACTCTGCAGTCACCAATAATTTTTTTTAATTCTCATCCGAGGATATGTAGTTTTTTTAATTGATCTTAGAGAGAGAGAAGGGGGAGAGGGAGAGACAGAGAGAGAAAATCTATGTGAGAGAGAAACATCCATTGGTCGCTTCCCATATGCACCCTAACTGGAGATAGAACCTGCAACCTTTTGGTGTATGGGATGATACTCCAACCAACTGAGCAACCTGGCCAGGGCCCCAGTAATTTTTAAGAATATAAGGGAAAAAGAAGCAAAAGTTTGAGAACCACTGCCACGTAAGGCATAAACTCTTCACGCTTATTTTTAGTTCAGGTGGACCTATTTAAGAAAACACACACACCCAAATGGTAAAAAACATATTGAAAGGCTTATTTTTTTTTTAAAAAAATGTTTTTATTGATTTTTAGAGAGAGAGGAAGGGAGAGGAAGAGATAGAAACATTGATGAATCAATCAGCTGTCTCCTGCATGACCCCTACTTGGGACCCAGCCGCAACCCTGGCATGTGCAGACCAGGCATTGAACTGGTGATCTCATAGTGCATGAGATGACACTCAACCACTGAGCCACTCCAGCCATGCTCAAAAGGCTTATCTTTAATGAATATTGGGCTTTATTTGTCTTATCTACACTAATAAAAGAGAAGGATGCAAATTGACTGTACCTTCACAATGCCCACCAGCCAATTAGGAGCATGCAAATTAACCCAACAAAGATGGCGAGTTAATTTGCATATGCAGGCGCTGAGCGGCTGGGGCGTTCCACACTGCCCCAGCCGCTCCAGGCCTCTGGGCAGCGTGGAAAGGCGGAAAGGCGGCTCCAGCTGGAGCGAAGGCGGTGCCAGCAGCCAGGGGAAGGAGGCCCATTTTTGCACGAATCTTCGTGCATGGGGCCTCTAGTAGTATTAAAAGAGTCTCATTAGTAACCCCAAGCCAATATCTAGCAATTCTGACAGTTTTTGTATCCAACACTAAATTGGTTACATCTTCATGACACCTTACCTCATCTTTCTCTAATTTTGCATGTTTGCGCTCTGCAGCTATGTTTTTTCTTTTATTAAAATTAAACTGTGCATCCTCTTCAGCTTTCTGTAACTTTCTTTTCTTTTCCTCATATTCTCCTATAAGCTCTCCTGAAGTGCTGATTTCCTCAAAAAACTGGGTTCTTTCTTTGGGTTTTTTCATTGAAATCGACTCTACAGTTCCCTTTTAAAAACAGTAAAGCACACCAACATGTAAAATATAGTGATGGTTTTTCAAAATCATGAATCAAATAAACTTTATAACTACTTACTTGAAAAACTAGACAGTTCCGTGCTTTGACTATTATACCTATCTTTTCCAACTCTGCTATATAAGTGGAACGACTCACAGGATTATCATCAAAACGAAATTCTGAGCATCCCCCTAAAGTAAATAAAGGCTGTTATAGGAAGTATAAATATCCAACATATATCAAGTGCTGAAAGTTTTATAAAATTATTTTTCTTATTGAAATGCCAGTTATGCAGTAATATACATGTTAATACATGCATTAATCAGTCAACAAATACTGTATACTACATACCAATGAGTTCCCTACAGCAGTAAACAAAACAGACAAAAGTCTGACCTCAAAGAACTTATATCCCAGTAATGGAAACAGACAAAAACAAGATATGTAAGTAAAATAAACATGAAAGAAATTGGTAAGTGCTATGAGTTAAGTAATATAGAGTTGGGAAGAAGGTATGAAAGTTTCTGTATGCTGGAATCACGCATTTGCAATTTTAAATAGGATGGTGCTATGGTCTGAATATTTGTGTCTCTCCTAAATTCATGTTGAAATCCTCACCCCCAAAGGTTATGATATCAGTAGGTAGGGCCTTTGGGAGGTGATTAGGTCATGATGGTGGAGCCCTCATGAATAGTATAGGTGCTCTTTTTTTGTTTGTTTGTTAATCCTAACCCAAGATTGTATTTTTTTCCCATTGATATTTTTAGAAAGCGTGGAAGGGAGGGAAGTGGGGGGAGAGAGAGAGTAGAGGGAGAGAGAGAGAAACACTGATGTGAGAGGGACACATCAATTGGCTGTCTCCTGCACTCGCCCTGACCAGGGCCAGGGATTGAACCTGCAACTCAGGTATGTGCCCTAGTCTGGGAATCGAACCCGTGACCCTTCAGTGCGTGGGCCAACACTCTAACCACTGAGTACACCGGCCAGGGCTAGTATAAGTGCTCTCATAAAAGAAGTCCCATAGAGCTCCCTGTCCCTTCCACTATGTAAGAATTCAATAAGAAGTCTGCAACCTGGAAGAGAGCGCTCATCATCATGACCATGCTGGCACCCTGACCTCAGACATCCTGCCTCCAGAACTATGAAAAATAAATTATTATTTTGTATAAGCTACCCATTTTGTGATATTTTGTTATAGCAGCCCAAACGGACTAAGACAGATGGACAAGGAACAAGAACAAAGCTGGAGACATCACACTTACTGATTTGAAAATATATTACAAAGCTACAGTAATCAAAACAGTATGGTACTGGCATCAAAACAGACATATAGAACAATAGAACAGAATAGTGTCCAGGAAGAAATCTGTACATCTACGGTCAACTGATCATCAACAAGGGAACCAAGACATATAATGGGGGAAAGATGGTCTCCTCAATAAACAGTGTTGGGAAAACTGGGTATCTACATGCAAATAAAATGAAACTGAACCCTTAGCTCACACTACATATGAAAATTAACTCCAAATGGATTAAAGACTTAACGTAATACCTGAAACTGTAAAACTAATAGAAGAAAACACAGGTGAAAGGCTTTTTGACTTTGATCTGGTCAATAATTTTTTGCATCTATCAAAAGCACAAGCAACAAAGGCAAAAATAGATAAATGGGATTGTATCAAAATAAAAAATGTCTGCCCATAAAAAGAAACAACCAACAGAGTGTAAAACAAAATCAATGGCATGGGAGAAAATCTTTTCAAACCACATATATGACAAGGGGTTAATATCCAAAATATATAAGGAACTCATACAATTCAGTAGCAAAAAACCAAAGTATTATAACCCAATTTATAATGAGAAAAGAACCTGAATAGACATTTCTCAAAAGATTATATGCAAATGGCCAACAGGTATATGAAAAGGTGCTCAATATCAGGAAAGATTAGGAAAATGCAAATCAAAACTACAATGATATCACCTCAAACCTGTTACAATAAAAAAGACAAAAAGGCAAGTGTTGCTGAGGCTGTGAAGAAAAGGAGAACTTTGTATATTGTTAGTGGGAATATAAATTGGTACAGCCATTATAGAAAGCCATATGAAGATTCTTCAAACTTAAAAACAGAACTACCTGCCCTAACTGGTGTGGCTCAGTAGATAGAGCGTCGGCCTGCAGACTGAAGGGTCCCAGGTTCGATTCTGGTCAAGGGCACATGCCCAGGTTGTGGGCCCGATCCCCAGTAGGGGCATGCAGGATGCAGCCGATCAATGATTCTCTCTCATCACTGATGTTTCTATCTCTCTCTCCCTCTCCCTTCCTCTCTGAAATCAATAAGAATATATATTAACAAAACAAAACTACCTTGTGATCAAGCAATCCCTTCTGAGTATATATTCAAAGAAAATAAAATCAGTACCTTGAAGAGCTATCTGTACTCCCATATTATTGAAGTATTATTCACAATAGCTAATAATCTAAATGTCTATCAGTGGGTAAGTAAAGAAAACATGAGAATATTATTCAACCTAAAAAAAGAAGGAAATTTTGCCATTTGCAGTTTCACAGAGGAATCCAGAGGACATTATGCTAAGTGAAACAAACCATGCACAGAAAGAAAAATACTGCATGACCTTACTTATATGTGGAATTTAAAATAGTCAAAACTCACAGAAGCAGAGCATAGAATGGTGACTGCCAGGGCTGGGGGGAGAGGAAAATGGGGAGATGGTCAAGGAATACAGAGTTGGGAAGATGCAAGATGCTAAGCTCTGGAGATCTATTGCATAGCAATGTGACTACAGTTAACAATACTGTATTGCACACTTTAAATTGGCTAAGAGGGTAGACCTTAAGTGTTCTCACCATATACACACACAAAAGAAAACAGTAACCAGGTGAGGTGATACATATGTTAATTAGGTTGATTATGTCACCTATTTCACAATGTATATTAAAACATCAAGTTGTATAGCTTAAATATATACATATTTTACAATTATACCTTAATAAAATGGGAAAAACAAATGTATGGTGGTTTATTAAATAAATAGAGTAGACTAAGGAATCCTTAGTGAGATGGGAAACTTTTGAGTAAAAACCAAAAGAAAGTGAGAAAACCAATGAAGATATTTAGGTAATAAAGTGGTGAAATGCTTAAATTAGACATTAAGGTACAAGTATATAAGTATTTCTAAAATTACCTGTGATTAAATTTGGGGAAAGTTAATAAAATAGTATTTATACATTAGAATATTAAAACCAAGTTCTAGTAGACCAGAATGAAAATAGCAACAACAAACCCACCAAGAAACACTTTTATAGAGGCTCTGTAAACTCCTAGCGCATAAATATGTGTATATATATATACACACACACACACATATATATATAGTTTACTCAGGAAACAGGATTTCATGAATAAATCACAAAATACAAATTCAAATGTTTCACTGAAGTTGCTTTCAATGGTAGAACTTTCTATACAAACCAAAAATATGCATATAATTAGTTCACCATTCAAAAAAACAAGGTAAATATACATAAATAACCCCAGGAAGGACTTTTATAACTTCTCTATCTTTAAGGTGGGCTCTCCTTTATTTTAACCTAATAACCAGGTACAAAAATGTTATTTGACAATGGAGAAGTTTGAACAAATATATCTGCTTAAAGAAGAGTCCCAGTGGAGAACCAAACAGGTTCTATTACTTACTTCTGAGAATTGTTATTCAAGAGAAAAGAAGTCTAGTTCACTACGCTAGTTGAACAGGTAATCTGACTTAACTCTGGAAAACTCAAATAACTCATAAGCAACATCTACAAAAATATACCTCGAATAATTCTTGTAAATGTTTTCTCTTCTCCATTCTCCTCCACATACACAATTTTTACACTTGCAAAAGAAGAAACAGGCTTTCCAATATGTGCTCCATGAATAAGTTCTTGAATATGTTTCACTCTTAAATTAGCTGTTTTCTCTCCCATAACAAAACTAAGCGCATCCATTACATTAGATTTTCCTGGGGACAAAAAGAGGGGGAAGGAGAGGAGAGAGAGGAGTTATTCACTCTTAAAATACATTGTTTGCGGGTAGTTTTTATCGCGCACTAACAGGTGACACATGGCGCGGGCCATTTTTGCTAATTTTTTTGCGCAAATGGCAACGTTCAATAAAATTACGATAACTTTAGTTTACGTATTTATACCTTACCCGCATTCTACCGCTAGTCTATAAAAAACGTATTAATACATGTCCCGCGCTCTACTTACTACCAGTCAACCTAAAACGTACAAATACGTTTCCTGCATACAGTGTGTTTTAACGATAAAAACAAAAACAAAAACACCCCACCTTGCCCAGAGGCAAAGAAACCAGGCCACCAATTGAAGTGAAATATAGCCAATACACGTCTAAATAGCACTGTCTTGTCTACATTAACATCGCATGTGACTGGTTTCCTCCATGCAGCTATGGTGGAGTATTAAGCGGCCTAAATTTACGAGGTTTAATATGTAGACCTAAACCCAACTCTCTCCCATTTTTAAGCATTATGCCACGGCAAATCACTTAACTTCCCCAATTTCCGTTATACCCTTTTCATAAATATTGACTGTCACATCTTCTAAAGGGCTAACTCTATCCAGGGTTTCTCCCCGGCGCTGGACGAAGGCTGCTGGAAGGTTTGTGACTGGTAGGAGCTGGTGGCCAAGAAAAACTACATCGCAAGTCCGAGCCGGCCGCACCTGCGAGGCCTGCCGCACCTGGGGGTTTGGATGGGGGTGGGGGGAGTGGATTTGCGGAGGTTTCCACCCCTTTCTGGTACAAGGTCTCGCTGTGCCTAAACGACTTGGGTAAACAACATAGAGGCTGTCTGGACGGTTCAGTGCCTCCATAGGTTTCATAGAATCTGACAGGCATTCAGTGAATACGAACGGGCACGTGGCTCATGGAGTGAGTCAGGGAGGAGGGACACTGCGCCTGGGCCCGGAGGCAGCGCCCCAACAGCCCGCGACCGGCTTCGCGGGGGGCGGCGAAGGGGGCCTGGCTTCCGGGGATGAGGGTCCAGGCAGGACCTGGAAAGGCGTTTCCGCAATGACCTTCCGATAGGTTAAGTCACAATATGTGGTTTCTCATTAGGAAAAGCTCTGGCTTTCTGAAACCAGGTGCAACACTGGGACGCGAACGCG